CCCCAGGCAGTCATGTCTCTCGCCCTCTCTATTCCCTCGTCTATCATGTTCCCATGTCTGTTTATCACCCGGTTCCAGAGTCAAACCTTTGTCTTTTAGTCTGCATCTCAGTGTGTTTCCTGTTTTATTTTGACAGTCTCTCGTCCTGTGTTCGTTGTGTTTAGTTTTGCTTCCTCCCTGTATCATTATGTCTGATTAGTTCTGGCTGTGTTTCCCTCCTGTTTCCTATCCCCTCGTTATCCTCTGTGCATTTAGTCCCCTGTCTTCCTCTGCCTGTTGTCTCGTAGTCCCATGTTGCGTTGCATGTGTCACCGTGTTCCTGGTCCCCTTGTTACTGCCTAGTCTATTCCCAGTTCATGTTCCCAGCTTTCATTTTCCAGGGTCAGGTTTTTGCTTCCTTGTATTTAGTATTTGGTTTTGTTTACAGTGAACAAAAGTTGACTCCTTTTCTCAATTCCTTTATGTTCCGAGTCCTGCAACTCAGCAATTCCAACCTACCTGATGTGGTAACACATATATGACCTTTGTGAGCCAAAGGTGATGGGGTAGGTTTAGATCATGGGACAAGTCTCCCAAGTTTCTCTATAATGTCTTTAATATTATAATAGAGACTCGTCCCATGATCTAACGCCAAACATATTAGTAGACACAGCACGACAGTGAGAGTTTACACGCCACTGTTTATTGTAGGCAGATAATCAGATAAATGAAGAGCCTAATGCCAAACACCACGGAGCAGGTTAGAGGGAGTGTGCTAAAACAAAGGACCAGCCTGTATAAGCCCAGCCCACAAGCCAGCACAAGTGCCAATCACCTGCCGTAGCCAGGGTTGATATGGAAACCGAGAACACTGGGATGTAACATATGTTTACAGCAATTTGCAGCATACTCGCATTTCTCACATGAACTTAACTACAAACAGTTTTCGTTATGACCAAAGAATTCAACAGATGTTTTCTAAATACAAGATGCGGCAAGCTTCATGGAGCTTATCAGTAGAGCTTGAGGGGAAATCCCCACCTCCCACCGCCTCCACCTCCATTACATGGTTACATTCCTGGCCTGGCACTGATATGGGTATGGTCTGTGGGCTGCTGACAGCACAAATTGCCAGTAAACAAACAACTGAGCCTTCGCCTGATAACACATGAAAGAGAAAGGGTCTTCACAGTGGCACCGTGTGTGTGGGCAGACAGTATGTCTTCATACCTTTCTGCGGTGCATTTGTCTCTTTATATGCCATCGGCGCATCAGAGGATTTCCACTGAGGGGCCGACACTTTGAAATCCTCCTGGTATGTTTGTTTACGTCAAGCGCTCGCATGTTTCAGGGATCACATCTTTTCTTTTTCCCTTTCTTGAATTCCCCTCCTCGATTGCCTCAAGGAATTTATCAACTCCTTATGCTTCTCACACACACACACACACACACACACGCACACACACACACACGCACACACACAGCCGCACACTGAGTGGTTAAAACCTCTCATATGGTGAGGACTATATAAGGTTATTAGGAAGAATTTGTGCAATATATGTAATCCAACATCACAAACACAGCACGGAGAGTTAGATCTTGAAATAAAATCTGAATATTGAGAGCTGGTAAAATAAATATAGACAAGCTGTCTTAATCCGTTTTGGCAGTAAACAAAGTGACAAATATTTGTTGCTTTGCAGTGTTCTTTTCAGCACCTTCCATCATCCTTTTGAGTTTAATGGTCAGGCTAATTAGGTCTTCGGAGAATACTGCTGTCAGATGTGTCAGAGTTATCACTAGAAAGTAACCCAGAGAGACCATAACAGACTGAATTGATGTCTACAAGACAATCCCTCCAAGTGTTGTTCATTTTAGACTAAATGAGCCTTTGCTGATATTCCAAACAGAAAGCTAAATCCCATGGGTTCATTTGATATGTATTAGTTGTCTAGAAGCTCCCTCATGGCCAAGCAACCACGCTCTACAGTACATTTTGGACTCCTATACAACTGTTTTGTTTTTGTTTTTCATGCTTGTGAACTCATCTTGTACCTATCTGTCCTCTTGTTTAACCAACACTATTACATGTCATAGATAAACAGTAAATGAGCATTTTTTAATTTGGGTTTAGTCTGACTAGCTGCTCATTGGTTTGGTTCACTTGGCTGCAAGCAACACTGGCTTTAAATGAGTGAGTTAAACCACTGAAAACATAATGCAGTGACAATAAAAATACATATCAGTGTGAATATTTGTAGAAAGAAGCCCTATGACAGCTGGGATAGGCTCCAGCGCCCCCCGCGACCCTGAAAAGGATAAGCGGAAGCGAATGGATGGATGGATGGAAGTTAATTTCACAGCGTTTCCAAACAGAGAATAAATATTATGAATATATCATAGCCACAATCAAAGACCCAAGTCTGGCTAGTGTTACAAGGTAGTGTACTTTAAGCTAAAACAGACACCAAAAGCACGGTGATTACATCGCCATGTAAACTCACATTTAGTAAGTCAGTGTTTTATTTACGAGAACGATAGGTGCATATTAGGACAAACACTAGTTTTCTCTCTTACACAAAGAGAGCAGGAAAGGTTTCCCATCTACCTCTATGTCATTCAACAAGAATGTCACTGAAATATCAAGTCTTAACATGTCGAGCCATGAAAGCTTTCTTACTGAACCGGAACATACTTTAGGAAAACGGTTATAACAGAGTTTCAGTCAGGTCTGAGTGGACCTGAAAAGCAGTCAGATGTAACTGACAGAAAATTCAGCAGACTCAACATATCCTCACAAAGTCTGGTCAGTGATCTGGACTACTAATGACTCACGGTGATTCATGCAGGAAACAGACAGAGAGGTGAAGTTTGGGAGGGCCAAAGTCTACACTGTCGAATCATTTATGCATTTCAAGTACTTCTCTTTCTTTTCTTAAACACTGTCTAATAACCTTGTCACACGTGACGAATGCTCTATGAAGACATTTGAAGTGGTTCAACATATTATAAAACAAACTTTTTTCTTTTCTTGTCTAAGCAAAGACTGAATATAAAGGATGGAAACAGCCTACAGATCTAAAAGGGGAAGTCAGTGCGCTGTAGTCTTTCTAATAACCAGAAGGGGGCGATTCCTCTGGTTTCAAAAATAAGTTTGGGTGTGTAGAAGTCTCACAGTCAGAAATAGGGGTACAGAAGGGGTACATTACTGTGCCCCAAGGTACAAAAATGACATTAATACAGTCTAAGGACAAATATTGGACCTCGGGGTAACTATCTGTACCTTTTTTAGCGTCTGAAAGGTACATACATGTTCCTTAATTGTGAAAAGTACTTATTTGTACCCATTCTTTCAAAAGATAAAGTACAGGTTGATTAAGCTCTTTTTGATTAGAGGTTTTTTTTTTAATTCTTTTTGACAGTAATTTATTTGCAACTGTATTGATTTAAGCATATATTTTAGTGTTTTTATTTTATTTTTTATTATTTTCATTGCTGTTGTTGTTTTTGTATTCCCTGAACCCCCCTTATTTTTAAGCTGCTTTAAGAGCAATGAATTTATTTGAAAGAAAAAAAGTAAAAATGCATTTAAACATTTTTTTAAGAGAGTGTTTTTTTTTAAAGTATAACTATTTGGATGAATTGCAAAAAAGCACCCTTATTGAACTCGGAGTGCGAGTTGAGCCCATCCTCACAACATCAAACAAAAGTAGAAGAAGAAACTCAACGAATAGCTGGTGGATTCTAGAATTAAATGCAGCAGGTGCCATTTTGTTTTATCAACGGACGGAGATGGATTACGAACTTGCAAGTCCTGGTGTGCTCTGTTCACTTTCAACCGAGGAACTCGTAACAAAAATACAAGAGTGGGGCTTAGATGTCACCGAAGCTGAAGCTCAGCATTTCAGAGGTAAGTTTTATTTAAAGAAAAATGTAGCGTAATTACTAATTATTGGTTTAGCCTAGCTTAACGTATATTAGCAATTTAGCTAGTTTCGGCACTCTCTTAGCTCAAATTATGTCTCTTTACAAACGTTTTTATAAACGTTTCATGTGTAAAGTTGAGGTCACAGTTCTGAAAAATGAAAAATGTGTACACATAGTATTTGTATAAGTTTGAACTTATATATGTGGTTCGGCCACAGTCTATGGGTTCGGTAACCCCTGCGCAGCGGAACGGCGCGAAATTTGATTCCCTGGTAGCTGAATGCAGTTTACGGTTAGTGTATTAATGGTTTAATAAAATCACGTTTTTACATCCATTCCAAGGCCATCAACACACACTGAATATAACGTTTAAAGGAAATATCTTGACGCTGCACTTGTTTAAAATATAACAAGGGTGTCGCAGCTGGGGTTTGATAGTCGCGTTTTAAGCAATGTGGGAACTTTTTCAGCATGTAATCTGAGCTTGTAATACGGTCCTGCGGGTGTTATTGCTATAAGTAATCGGTCTGAAAGAACAGACGGCAGAAACTGTCGGAAATCTGGAGAAAGGAGTCACCTTAGTAGTGAATATTAACAAATTACAGCATTCTAGTCTTTTTTTTTTCTTCCAAACTTGAAAGGGCACAAAAGCATGCTCAGACTCTGCTCTCCTGTGTCCAGTAGTCCCAAACAAACATCTAAATTTAAAAATGAAAACTTTGCATATCGAGAGGATTCACTCTAAAAATTTGGTTTATTAAATTTACTGATTTTTTTTAATGAATATTTCTTTGAACTGAAAGAAGTTGTACAAAAGGTGTTAATGTGTGTGATATACGGTTTTTACCCATGTAAAAATGTGGTGATAAATATCCTTACGTGGAATTTAGAGTTTGTACTACCATTTATCTTGCAGACAATGAGGTTGATGGTGACACAGTTGACTGCGGTCTTACTGAGACTATGGTTGCATACCTTTTCCAAGGATCCTTCAAAAAGCAGGTTAAATTCAACCAGTTTGTGTCAAGGATGAAGGAATCTTCAGTCAGTCTGACTCTACAGACTGTCTCTCCAGAAGACTGGCAACCGTCTACTTCGTCAACTTCAATAAGGTATTTTCTTATTTATAATGAAGTTAGTATGTCTGAAGCATACATGTTGGCCGTTATGCACTTTTAGGATTTAGTTAATATGATCATTGTTTCTACCATATGTATTGTTACTGTAGTGTTTTATACTTCAATTCATGCAATAAAAACAAACACTTAACTGTTTTCACAGCAATGAAAATACTTTGAGACTGCCAGCCTCTTTTGAAATTCCAAGATTTCCCAAAAATCTGCAACTAAAACTGGACAACAAAGAACCGTGCCATAAAAATCCAAGGGACAGACACACAATAATCAGAGTTCTATATGAAGCTGTGGCACAGTATACTATGTAAGTTAATCAGGGTAATGTTAGCTTGTTGCTTTAGAAAAAGCTGAATCTGTCATATTGAAAATAAACGCTACATTACTAAGAAACAATAACTGACACTTGATAAAGTTTGTTTGTCAGCAGTTGCTCTAACACTTATGTTTCTTCTGATATTACAGGTATCCCACAAATTCTGAATATGTGCAAGCTGTGAAGACGCTGGTAATGAAGTATCCTTTCCTCAAGGATCGTGAGGGAAATGGTTATGTAAGTTAAATTTAAAATTTGCATAAGGTTCCTTCAAGATTACAAAGTAAAAGTGAAGCTTTTTTCAATCTTGTTTTGTTAGTAAGACAATCTGTAGCCTCTCAGTAGGTTTGTATGGAGTATGTTTACTGATTCTTTGTTGGGTGTATTTTGTGTAGATTGTTTTTACAGTAACTTATGTTTCTGTTCAACAAGCACACATGGCATATGTCTTTGAGACGTAAATTCAAATCAGAGCGGGCACCACTAGTCGACAGTGAGGCAGTGAGACGTTGTAAGGAGAAGTTTGGTTCTACGAGGAGAGGGCAGCCTAATAAATGTCAACGAACAAGTCAGAGAAATGTTTGTCAGGTTGGTGTGAGGGACATCTTGAGCTATAAAATGTTCTTGCATCTGTTATTGCATCTAAAACTAAGGATTAGGGATGCAACTGTACCCCTTTTTTCAAACCGAAACAATACCAATACTTGGATTAGAGCACTTGCTAATACAAAGTACCAGTGCTAATACTTCTACCTCACAAAAAATTATTAATTGGAAGGCGCTAAAAGAGGGTGAACTAGATTTAAAAAACAAAAACAAAAAAAACCCATTTTAAATATGACTCCAAAACTAAAATTTCAAGTTAACAATTAAGATTTTATGTGAAATTATTTCAGAGTTTCCATATTTTAAATATTGGTTCATGGTATCGGTTAACTTTAACCGATACAAGTTCTTTGTGATGCACAGATTGTGTCAGCTCTAATTGTATATTTAGTCTTATGTTGGGTTTCTAATCTGTTTTGACTTTCTCTTCTCACTCTTGCTTTCTTTCAAGGGACCATGCGTCCAAGGAGAGGATTTATTATCCATAGACGCCCACTTAAAGGTCATACAGTGCCAATATCAGAAGATGCAACCAGATACCATGGTGGTTCATAACCGTATGCAGCAAACGTTTGCTTGGCGGCAGAAAGAAATTGCAAATGGTATGCCTGTGGAGGATGTGTTGAAGAAGTACCCCTTCTTAGGGATGCCTACTGGTGTAAGTCAGAAAGCTGAATTGAACTTGGAAATAGCTGTCACATTTAACATGTTTATAGTAGTATATTTTATTTGCCCTTGACCTTGCTTTCTTCATCTGTCCCTCTTTCCTTTTTTTGTATGTTCATGTAACTTCTTACAGTATTGTTGTTAAATTCTATAAAAAAATAATTATGCAGCACCATACATAATTAATATCAACTTTAGATTATTTCATTTTCATACACTGTTATTTTGTACTGAAAATGAATTTTTTACTTGTAGCTGTGCAACGAACTCAGGTGGATCCAACCAACAACGGGTAATGTAAGCCAGCAATTTCGTGAAGGGCTCTCATGTGTTGCAGCAAAGGTGATTGGCCTTACACGAGGGAAAACCCCACTCTACCAGCTCTACCTTGATGCAAGAGAGGAGGCTCTCACTGATGACCTACCAGGTATTTGCTTTTTTTTTAACTTCAAGGCTTCCATTTTATATAATTTTTATAGGTAACTGGAAATGCCAGATAAAATGCATGGGTAATCTTGTGTTGTTGTTTTTTTTGTTGTTGTTTTTCTTGACACAAGGGCTGCACTTTTATTCCTGCCATACGTCTTTAAGGAGAAACTGGATCTCTTTGTCATACTTGGAGAGGTGTGTGTATTAAAATATTTAGTCTATATAAAACGAAAACAAATGTATCTTTTGTTAAGAGACTAAGATATTGCTTTCCTCTACCTTCTCTTTTGACTTCAAAGGTTCATCCTAAAACCCCCTATCCAACTGTTCAGCTACTTCATGAAGACTGGAAACCAGTGTTCTCCAGAAGCGCTCCAAACATTGTGAAGTTGGATGGCAGTGAAGTGTGCAGAAGCTCGTGTATTTTTGAAGGAATCATCTCTTCTTTCTGCTTGTATTTTGTCTTCAACCTTGCTTATCCAAAACATCTGAAGAACACCCTGATTTTTCTCCAAAAGTACATTGTGAAAATAGATGAGGGTGAGGACCGGCCTCTGCCAATCACAGTCACCAGACAAATAAATCTTCTGTATTGACCACCATGCCATTGATAGTGAATGGACGGTGCTAAAACCTGGACAGGAAATTGATGTTGCAGCTTATGACACATACTCTGTTGATAACAGTTTGTATGTAACAGTTAAGCAATGTATTTAAGAAGGTAATAAATGTGACAAGTATTTTTGACTTTGTATCTTCAATTTTTCAAATCTTGAGAGGAAAAATGTAGGAAATCTGTGTTTAGATACTGAACCTTTAGAAAGACATTTTTGTACTCCTTTTAAGGGTTCTTTTTTGTACTTTATACTAAGGGTACAACTTTGCCCTTTAAAGTACAGGTTTGACGTGTAAAAGGTACAAATTACAAGGGTACAAATCAGTACCCACAGTTTAGGGTACAGAACGGTACCTTAGAGGGTACCACCCCAGTGACAAGACATTGTACCCCTATAGGTACATTTCTGTACTTTAATTTCTGAGTGTGTATGGTAAAACAACCCTTCATTTTTCTTGATTTTTTGATCTCAATAAAAAATTTTATAAGGATGAATTTATCATTCTCCATCACTAGCTTAAAATCATACTGAATACAAAATGAGGTTCACTCATTGGACTGGACTCTGCGTCCACTTAGAGGTATGTTTAAGGCTGTGGCTACTGTCAAGACACATTGTTGCACATCTGAGGGTGCTGTGCCTTTAGTTGCACTGCCAGATGTACCCCTCATAATTAAGTTTTATCTATAAAGCTGAAGGCTTTACAGTAGGATTCACTAACCAGTGGGTGATGTCATGTTAGCTACATGTAGCTGAATTGTAAGTTTATTCATTTCCAACAAAATGAATGTTGAAGTTTCAGGTTACCAAGTTACCAAGCCAAGGAACCTAAAGGATTTAGAGTTCTGTAAACAAGAGGGGCCAAAATCTCTCTTGAGTTGTATCCAAACATGGGATGCGTTACCAAGGTACTCGCCAGAGAAAAACATGTACTTTGAGGACAGGGTGGCGAGTGTTTACTGGAGGTAGTTGGTTGTTGTCATTTGGTAGATTATTTGCTAAGAGGTATACAGTACTGCTCCAAAAACCCTCTTTTGATTGTTTACGGTCCTAGCAGATTGCCATGGCGGCCTGTAGTTTCCATGAAAGACACTGACTTGTTTGCGCTCATCAGATTCTCACTAAATAGTACTTTTACTTTGAAGGTTGTCAGTTAGTGAGTGTTTGCAGACAAGTCTGGGTCTTTCATGCAGTCAACCGTGGCAATATGATACCAACCAAACAAGGAGGCTTTTAGTGTGGCACCCACTTTGCAACCATTTTCACCCAACTGCCAGCAACTTTCAGCAACCGCTTGCCAACCACTTGGAGAATACATGTTTCCTTAGTGCACAGAAGTTGCCAGCGCATTGAGGGCCGCTTCTTTTCCTTAAATGGAACATATCTGTCATTGTCTTTTGATGTGGAGACTTGAAAGAAAACCTTAAGCTGCAATTGGTTTCAGTGTAATAACATTTGCGGTTACTGCTCCACCCACTGATCAAGTATCTACCTGAGTACTTGTCAGTCATCTTGAGAACTGCATACTTGAAAGCAGTTGGCCTTACCTAATTATAGGTAACACCTATAATTATCAGGTTTTGAAACAGCTGAGACATGCAGGGCGTCCAAGTTATTTTACTGTTAAAAAAAAGAATGCATTGTGGTTATGTTGTGTTATACAGCTGCTATACAGTAAACTAGACCCTGCGTAACACATGACTCTGATTTCCTGCCAAGAAATTTCAGGCTTCAGCAAGCATTTTATTAGCTTAGCTTAGCACAACAACCTGAAGAAAGGAATCAGCAGGAGAGGCTCCGTTCACCTTTGCGAGAATCTTTTCAGCCTCAATCTCACGACAAAAGTAAAATGACAATGAAGGTTAAGTAGGCTTACAAAGTCAAACATCACCTTTTTCAAAATGGTATTGATCCAAAACATACCAGAGAAGCACAAAGAACACAGAGTCTATAATACACCACAGTCCCATGCTCTTCAGGCTACGGGATCAGCTCACTAAAATGATGAGTTTCAAAGAACGGCAAGGCTATCTGCTAAATACAATAGTGAATACAATCCACAGAAGCAGCTGAGCCATGTAAGACGCCCAAGTTATTTTACTGTTGAAAAAATAATGCATTGTAGTTATCTTGTGTTATAAAGCTGCATATTTCATATTCCACAGCTCGTGTTAAAGGTGGTTGAAAAACAAATTCACAGTGGCAGGGTCAACAAGAGGTTCAGCAACACCAAGATCCAGTTTTTAAATGATGTAGCAATTCATGCATGTGGTTTTCTAGTGCTTATTTGAGGTTGGAAAATGCCAATAATTTCGACTCTGGCTATATGTTATAAAGTGGAATTAGCACACAAGATATAATAGTGATAATTAGTGAGTGTTACATGTGCTACATGGTAGATCTGTCACTGCTTCATCTTCTTTTTGAACCCTTCAGGGGTTCCCACAGCAGATCACCTGCTTCAATCTCACCCTGTCACTATCCTCCTGCTCTGCATGTCCTCCTTGACTACAATCAAGAATCTTCTCTGTGATCTTCCTCTTTTCCTCCTGCCTGGCAGCTCCATATTCAACATCCTCTGTCCAGTATATCAGCTATGCCTCCTCTGCACATGTCCAAATCATCTCAACCTCACCTCTCTAACTCTGTCTCCAAACAGCTCAACCTGAGCTGTCCCTCTGATACACTCATGTCTAATCCTGTCTAATCTTGTCCATCCTGGAAAATCTTAGCATCTTCAACTCTGTTACCCCAAGCCACATATTTTTCAGCATGCAGTCTCTGAACTTCGCTGAGATCGCTGCCTGGAATCAGGATGAAACTCTTTGGCTTATATACAAATTAGCAAATACGTTTTTATCAAAAACACAACTCATTTGTCTTCCTCTAAAGCAATCAAAAGTAAATATGTCATTTCTTTCTTCTCCTGACATTAAATTTGGGCAGCATTGCTCCCAGCCTATCCTTTCTTTATTTCAACAGAATTAGATGTAGAGGCTTCTGTAATGGCCCCCTGGAGGCACACAATTATGAGAGTCAGAATAAGAACAAGGTAATTACCATCAAGACTTTTGGGCCTCGACCAAAAGCATATTACCCACTTCAAACGCTGAGAGAAAAATGCAAACACAGGGGCAGGAGAGCTACTTTGCTGCATAGCTGAACCCTCACATCACTCTACAGGAGTTATGTTTATGGAGAAACATTGTTTGATGTACTATTTCTCTTTTTTTTGTGTAAAGATACATTTCGGATGCCTTTTTTCACAAATGTTTGTAGAAGCAGTCTTCATAGGTGCTTAATTTTTACACCTGTGGCCATTGAAGTGATTGGAACACATGAATTCAATGATCTGGATGGGTGAGTGAATAGTTTTGGCAATACAGTGCATCACTGTTGCAAGAGAAAAAGTACATTACCGTAAATAACCAACTATAAGAGAGGTGCAAATATGTTTTCAGGTGACAGATTGCCGGGGAGAGCCGAACAGTGTGTGCAAATTATGGTGACTGCAAATACGGCGCCTCTTTGTTTCCATACCCATTTATTTTTTCTCGCCTGTGCAAACACACGGAATGTGACTTTTACGACATCTGCGGCGCACTTACCGCCTCGGAAATGAAAGAACACTGTTCCAAAAAGTAAATGCACTCAAGCGAGTGTTTGACGGTTATTGGGCTGAATGTTTTACTATGTTTTTCTACAGCCATCTCAGTGCCTCTTTTGTCCAGTTGGGCATCGATTCGGTGACGCAACCATTATGCTCTTGTTAATCAATAGCTCCCAAACAAAAGCATTAAGTAGATGCACTGTAAAGAAAAATATTTCCTTGAGCACGCTGCTATGAATGGCCCAGCACAGGCAGGAAAAAAAATCTATAAACAATACAAACATGCCCACAAATAATTATGCAAAGAGTACTCAGTCCTGACCCCAGCAGCAACCATTAAAAATGAAATAATGCTTTGCACTGCTCTCAGAAAACTGCTTTCACAAGGGAGCAGAAATTGTTGTAGTAAATAAAATGATAGTGGGAGCCCAGAGACTGTGTGCCGTGGTTATAGCTTGTTTCCCAGACCGCCTGTAGACAATAAACACTTTCCCTTCTCTCACCATGCCTGCAGATCTCTGTGTGCACTGTGAACCTTGTTATTGTACGATACAGCTTCTAAATTTGAATACATGTAATAATGGGGCTGTCTGAACAATGGTCAAAGGAAGCCGATCTATTCACTAAGCACTAATTTGTAGCTAGTGTATAAAATGCTGCCTTGTTGTTAATTATGAATAGTGAACCAGTCATATCCGCAGGTTGGTCTTTATATTACACTAAATGGTGTTTTGTGAGGCACAGCAAAAAAACAGCTTTTATTACAGTTGTGAGCAGGATCGCTGCTCGGTTTCATCTCGTTTCTCTGCGGTCGAGAGGCGCTCTGCTCCAAAGATTCAATTCTAACCAGCATAAAATTGGACTATTCTTCACTCGCACTTAAGCGGAGTGCCTTGACCTGCAGTTTTACTTCGTGCATCCCCTAACAACGCAATGCTGAGCCAAAGATACATTACAAAGACATCAACAGATCCGAGCACAGAGTGCTCCTGAAGGGCCAAGTGAGTCCAGTCAAACCAGCAGGCGGGAAATAATCTGTCGCCCTATACAGGAGTGAACATTTTAATATTCAAAAAAAAATGAAAGGTTCAAGTCCAGATTTAATCTGAAAAACTAAAGTTAGTAAATGTAAAAAAAAATTTAATAATAATAATTCATTTAAAAAAATGAAAGGTTATAAATGTCATGGAACAAGCTTAGAGTAAAAAAATAAAAGCTGGTTTGATAAATGCAAGAAAGCTGTCGACTATTGACGAATATTCTTGTAAAAACTAGGTTTTATAAGTATCTGTTTAACGCAATTTGTCTCTGCCTATTTTAAGGATGTGCCATCTGTATTCATTTATTTCAGCATTACATGACGTGATTAAGCACCAGATCTGAAGAGTGTTACACAACCTAGAGATTGATAACCTCGTGTGTGAGTACAAAGCATGAGACAAACCACAGTTCTCTAAATTCATCCCAACAGCTCGATATCTATGTTAATTTATTGAATGAAAGGGTTGTTTTGTGGACAT